AAAAAAAAAAAAAATTACAATTCACTCCAGTTGTGCTGCACTTTTGTGGTACTGCTCTTTATTATTGCCGTGAGGCATATGTTATTTCTTGTTGATTGTTGTTTATTATTCTGGGTCAAAATGAGCTGAACCCTCAGTAATCCTTTTGTTCTCGCATGCTTTACCCCCAAGCCCCCCCCCCCCCATTTCTGCACAACGGACCGAAATCCAAATGATCTTATCTACCTTTCATTCTCCAAATGTTTTCATCTGCATCACATTTTACTTGAGATTAAAGTAGGCCTGCGCCTTTGTGCAGTGCTAATTGCCACAGCGCTTGAGTAATTAAAGGACAATAAAGCCGTAGTAGTAATTAGTTTCTCTTGTTTGCTTGCTAGCCCATCAATTGTGCTTCAATAATACTGATCATTAGCATGCGCCGGGGCAGTGAAGGATGCTGGGAAAGGAACCGTGCACACACAGCACTCCACATTCCATTCCCATGAAGCCATGGCACCGAGCCATGTGTTTAACCCTCAGTGTGCTGGGCTGGGTGTGGAGGGGGGGGGGTGCTGGGCTGGAGGTGGTGGCTTGGAGTCAGGACGGACCGTGCCCGCAATTCAGCGCCCGCTCCGCAAAATTAAAGAGCTTCCCCTCAAACATAAGAGGGGTGCCGATATAATGACGAGCTAAAGATTGGGAAGATAAGAGCCGCAGCAGTGGGCGCATGCAGCCGTCATGCCTTGTGTTGAACAATAACAAAAACAGACACATGCACATACACAAACGCATCTCTAGCACTGTTATTCTATCCTAGATGACTTCGGGCAGAAGGCAGACTACACCCTGAAGTGGTCGCCAGTCAGTTGCAGGGCACATATAGGAATAAACGACCATTCACACCCACATTAACACCGTCACTGAGTGGGAACCGATCCCACGCTGCCCGCTCACAAGTGCGATATGTGTACCACTACACTATCAGCGACTCTCTCCGATGTGCTTTTTGAAATTCTGTTTTGCCCAATGTACTAAACTACACAGATAACAACTATTGTGCATCATTAATTTCGAAACATAGCGATAAACTTCTGTAACCACTTGTTGCCGTGCCGCCACCGTTATTTGTTTATAGTTCGTCCCCAAAAATAGTGAAAGAATGATGTACAGTGCATTCATCGTGTGCCTCGTTGTTCTGCTAAATATGAAAACACAATCACAATTACTTTTGAATTTTAAAATGATTGACTCACTTTGTTTAATACCGACGTCGGACTTCATGAACGTTGCCCGACAAACGTGTCGTCCGATTCGGAGTTGTCTTGACGCATCGCAGGCCGTGTCATGTGACATACTCAACGATTGGTCGTCTGGCATCCGGGATGCTTCATGACCATGACGACGAAAGTCTGGCATGTCTGAATTTTGTATTCATTTTGCCTCAAAGTGTGATATGTCCTACGTTATCCTTCTGATTGGCTCTTTTGCATGGACCAATAGGAAGATCGTTCCCTCCTACTTATGACGAGAGACTGGGCGTGGCACACATAATCCCATTGTGGTGGCCAGTATTTAAAAAGGGACTTGAACAAAAGGGGGAAATATTGGGAAGCACATGTAGCATTTCAACTCATACTCCATTTGCTAACCGCAACGCTTGTAGCTGATTAGCAAACAGGGCGTCATTAAACAAAGTCGTTACCTCAGATTCCTTTGGGGGAATAAACAATCCATCCAGGAACAGTGATACAGTGAGGCTACATTCATATCTTGCTAGCGATATGAACCCCAACCCCCCCACACTTTCATATTAACAGGGGTGCCCTTACTGTTACACTCGTTTGAGTGTTACAATATTCAAATGTCCATTAAAAATCGCTTGTCCTCTTCAAGGGAATGTGTTGATCCGGACTGAGTTGGACCTTCGATGTTCCCCAATATTGTGTGACCATTTCCTATGGTTACAGTACAAGCATGCATCGCAGAAACAGGCGAAATGAAAGGGAGCACAGTCATGAGAGTAACGCATTTGCGTGCAGGCAGTGGTGTGAGGCTTGCGCCGGAAAGTGTATAGCACAGTAATAGCGTCGGGCAACGGAAAATGCGCTCTGTTCGGTACTTTGCCTTGGCATGATTGAAAGACAATGGTCCCATTCAACATCAAATGTGCATGCACATCACAGGGCAAGGGTATGCTATCCATCACATTTGGCGAGCTGTCAGAAGCAGCTCTCCCAGCTTTGGCTTCTCTCGGCTCACAATTGCAACTGTGTGCCGATACAAGATTAAAGCTCCTTGTGCGTAATGGCACTGGTTGCAAAAGCTCGCTCATTATTTGAATATATACGCCGTCACATCGTGCATTGCTGTGCGGTTGTATTTGCGCTGTCTCAACGCTTCCTGCGTTTAACTTATGACAGAGACACGTGCAACTCGGGCACTGCTGGAATTTGCAATGAAAGGCATAAACTTTTGTTTTTAGTGGCAGCTGGAATGAACAAACACGAGGCAGTAGAACCACATGATTTTGGTTATATACCTCATGTTTAATTGAATATCATGAAATATCGATAACTCAAATGCCATATGTGCTTGGCATGCCCCTTGTGACCCTGCACAGGGGGCAAACACATACATGGCAATGGCGAGTGATGAAAAAAGCGGAAGGGGCGTGGCCTGGACGGGGGCGTGGCCTGGACGGGGGCGTGGTTACTTACAAAAGTGGCACTAAACATGCTGAAGATGAAGTGTATTAAATTTACACAGTTTGAAAATTGAACAGAAAAAAATCCCAAGATCGCCACTATTCTTTCAAGTGAAAATTTGTGCAATTTTGCCTATGCATTCCTGGTGAGCACCAATATGTAACTCCAAATTTGCTGCTCAAAATCAAAACTAAAAAAGTAAACACATCCCCTGCCATATTTAAGATTTGTTCATGACTTGTATTCATAAAGTGTTGTGTAAATGTGATAAAAAGCTGTTGATTCTTACCTCATACAGTGATAGTGAATATTTATTATGCATACAATTTATTATGCATAACCGTGCTTTATTATCCAAGACAAAACGTGAATTATCAATATGAATATAAAACGCAAATAAAAACAAATAAATGTTATCATGCTGTTGCTACAAATGCATACCAAATAAAA